TTCTACTACTTACTGCTTACTACTTACTACTTACTACTACTACTGCTGCTACTACTACTACTACTACTACTACTAGTACTACTAGTACTACTACTATTACTACTACTACTACTACTACTACTACTACTAGTACTTCTACTTCTACTACTACCACCTTTCTTTCCTCTTTGGACTTTGGATTCCACATCTTCCCTTACTGCAGTATTCTGTGTAGCAGTGGCCGTGTGCCACCCATTCTTGGTATTTTCTTGGTTCTCTTCTGCTGATGTTTCCTCCAGGAAGGTATTCCATAGCAGCAATAGCAGAGTATATCTCAGACATTCTCAAACCTTATTTTCATTGTTGAGGCTTATATATTGCAGGGATGCTCTAGGAATCTGAGAAGGTCAGCCCTGTGTGACGTCGACATCTCCTGGTCCCCTTTGCTCCTGGCCCTGCCGGAGACCCGACGCCTGGAGCGCGGAGACCGGCTCAGCTGCAGGGTCGAGGCCCTGAAGAACGTAGGGATTTCAGGGATTGGGGTTTTCGGTTTATTTATATTCACTATATTCTGTTTGATCGAAACAAGGTTAGTCATGGAATTATTCCGATTATCTGTTGTATATAGGCGCTGACGAGCATGATCGCCGCAAGAAACTAGCGGAAGAGCTTCTGAAGGCAGCAAGGCTAGACCCCGTTGAACCCTGAAGGACCCGATGTAGGGGCCCAAATAATCACCTATCCTGCCTATACTAGTGTGAGGGTTCCTTATTATAATCGTGGTATAATGGGTCCCAGAACCCGATTCTATTTACAAAGGCCTCTGTATCACCCAGCCCTGAACCCTACAGCCTGCCTTGAAGGCTCTCCCTGCAGAAATGGATGGACCGGAGCTCCGGATAGAGCTGCCGCAGGAGGATGGAAGGACCGAGGGATCCGAAACTTGAAACGATGACCCGGAAATTTTTGGCTTCCAGGAACTGGCCCCTTAAGTCTTGCAGCATCCGTGGCTTTTCCTGAAGCTCTGGCATTGTCAGTTTTCCAAAGCAAGTTCATGCCCCCGCCTCGATCGAGGACCCTAAAATTCGAGTGGACTCTGGCGAGGGGAGCACGATGGCTCCCCTGCAGCAATGGGCCTTCCTGAGTGCTTCGAGCAGGACGAGAGGTGAAGAATGCAAGCATATCGTAGGAACTGCCTTAGCCGAGTAGCGACATGGCTCACATGTAGTGATACAGTCCTTGTCGAGCTCACGGGCTCTTGAAACCACGACACCAGCCAGGCATTTTTTTCAAATCCGGGCCCAATCACAGCGGTGGGCTTGGTTTGCTGACGTTGCATGACCCAGGATATTGCCCGAAGGGCGGGAGATATCTTTCGAGGACCAGCCAGAGGATGTTCTCAGCTGGGATCTGAGAGGGCGGGCTCTTTCGTGTTTCCCTACCTAGACAGTTGCCTCCGATCCAGTGCCTGAACCAGTACAGGAAATCATGTCTGCGGCTGGCTGACTGTCTGCTGCTGGTGCCCAGGTCCTGAGCAGGAATTTCTCTGGGAGTTGTTTGGGCCACCATGACGTGATCTGCCCTTCCTGCTCTGAAGCAGATCACCTCTAAGCGGCATGCTGCACACGACAAGTGACATGTGACAGCACACAATGCACAGCGTATTGTAATGTCACACTTTTCACCCTGCAGGGTTGCAGCACATGTCTTAGTGAGTCTTAGTGGTCCTTGTACACCAGCATCCGGAGAACCGTACTGCTGAGCCCGGAGATTCGCGCGCACAAAGTTGTGCTCAGATGGGGACGGCGCTTCAGCCAGACGAAAACATGCTGCGTTAATAGCCATGCTTTGGTACTTCCCCTTCTGCCGAGAGGTGCAGGTGGAGGCGGAGACAGGTAACTGTGGTTCTGCTGTTACGGCTTGCTGCTGTTGCCGTCTGCTTCTGGTCCCGTTGGTGCTGATGCTGCCGTCTTGTCAATGTGCCCGATCAGACTGCAGCTTTGCGAATGCCAGGCCTACGTCCAAAGCATCAAAACGAAGCTGCAAGCTTGGATCGCTTCAAGGGACCAAGCTTCAGGAGGTTTAGGGTTTAGGGCTTAGGGTTTAGGGTTTAGGGTTTAGGGTTTAGGGTTTAGGGTTCAGGGCATTGGCGGTCATTAAAAGAGCATCGGACATGCAGAGGAAATAACCAAAGGAGCAGGCCAAGCAGAAGAGCCTCTGCACCTCAAAACTACCCCAAGTATGATTTGCAAGCATTTACAAGCCTTAGGCCCCAAGGTGTGCATCACAGATGTGAACTGGGAGTCGCAGGGGAACCCTTCGAGGGTTTAGGGAATGTGTGATTCGACACCGAACGTTTGCGCAAGGCGGGGTCATGCCATCGCAGCTTCAGAACAGTCCCTGTCTGTTACTTTTTCTTACTGAGCAGTCTTCTATACGCTACATTCTGAGTTTACGGTTGATGCCGTAGGCTGAGTTGTGGTTGCTGAGGTGGGAGATCATCAGGCGGAAAGTCCTCAAGACCTTCTACCCGGCAGAGCACCCGAATCCTGAAGAAGTGAGCGGGAGCGGATACTTCGGATTCGAATTACGAGACGGTCCATGAGCAAACCAGGCTCCTGACAGGGTCATGAGCAGCACTTTAACCATATATATATATATATATATATCTATCGATGTATATCTGAATATGAATATATAATATAAAATAAGGCAAAGCAGAAAATATGCGTATATACATATACACATGCTGCTACGCTTTGGGGTAGTGCACGATGTACAAACCAGATGCCTCACTGCCGAAGAGCGGCGGCTGAGACAGAATTTGTTTTGCGGAAAAACAAGCCAAAACACTTCATGCAGCTCTACGTGTGATTGGAATCACAATACGTCTTTCTGAGCTTCATGATGCAAGCGCCGTGCAGGATGTCATCATCTGCTTAAGAGTGTTTGTTCACAGAACTCATCAGAACTCCTGTAGTAAACACGGAATCAGGCCTTTGGTATGCTTGATAGCAGGGCGCAAGTCGACATGCCTTGACAGCGCCATCCCGCTGAACTTCCCTCACCTGCATATCTAGACCCTATCAGCCCCAGCCTAAAACCCCTAACCCGAAAGCCTAGGCCCTGCACCGCGGAACCCTACCGGACCAGCCTACAACCCCAAATCCGAATCGCACTGCTCAAACCTGCGCAGACCCACGAGCTGGCGAGGGCGACGTTCCACGCACAGCTCTCGGCAGCGAGGTCGCTTGCGTCAGCGCGACAATGTAACGGCTCAGGGTTTAAAGTTCCGGAAATCCCCCAATTAGTTGGCATTGATACCCCTAACCCCAAACCCTAATCCCTAAACCCTAAACCCTAAACGAATGTCTCGTAGTATTTGAGAAAGCCCCGGGTCCCTCGTGAACCCCAATTTCCCTGGAGTCAACAACAGCTGGGTCCTTGTTCGCTACATTTTTACATTTCTTTATATAAACGAACCCAATAAGGATTAAGGATGCTCCTTTTTCAGATAACCCCAACAGGGAACTAGACAAGGAGTCATCGAGGCCAGGAGACGCACAAGAGCCTGGCGCCGGCGGGCTTTTGGCTCAAAGCTTCGGCATAGGGCCCTGGAGTAACATGGGGGGGGGGGCCGGATTGGTTAGTATTGTACCTGATATTATTCATCCCCTTATAGTCCTTGTATACCCATGCTTTGATGTCCCTGAAGACTGTATTCTAGTGATAAAGTTTTCGTACTAGAAACAGGGAAAGGGTTTGGGGCTTTGGGAAGCAACACAGGTACTCCACACATCAGAGAGGTGGATGCATTCCTAGTACTTCCCGGCATCCGCAAAAATTGCCCTCCTTCGTGCCGACCCTGGAGCCCAAGTGTGTCACGGTGCAGTCGGTATCAGCCAGCATCGCAACAGTCGGCCGTCAGTACCAGAACGGAAGATGAAAGCTCATGATTGCGGGAACCCTACACGGTGCTCTAACCCGCGGCCAACAATCCCAAAAATCTAGACCTTGAGCAAAGCGGCCTCCGTGCCCGAAGATTCGCCATGGCTTTGGCCGTAAGTTGCCCTTTGGACTATGGCCGGGCCGTCAGTTCAGTCTGCGACATCTCATGGAGTTGTTTTAAAAATCTAGTGGCCAAGGGCGTTTTAGGAAGCTGACGATGTATGAACGATCCTGGTACTCAGGGTCTTATGAGGGTTCACTATTTCCTGGAAGTCTCATACAAGGTCTTGCCTACCTGGTCCAATCGATTTGCTGCTGCTGTCCAGAACCGCTCTGCCGGCAACAGCACATCTTTCAAAAGTATTGGTACGGTTGTAGTTCTGTTCTTATAGATCGCTCTTGACATGCTCTGCTGTAGCAGAAGTACGAGTGTCGCCCATGATCTGAGCATTCTGACCAAGGCGACTGCTTGCTCCCAGGCGGTCGGATGGTGGCATCCTTCGAGGGCGTAGAGTTCGTCCGCTGGCAGGACAGCTCAGACTATGTATTCAGCGCAACACTGGCAATAACGCGGTGAGCATCGTCAGAATCAGAAAGCTAACAAGCGAGAATGATGGTTCTAGCGTTGATTTGCATGTCAAGCCAGTCGTGATCGCCTTCGGTTTGTTTTTAGTATCTTGTCGCGTAGCTAAGTACAGCGTGGACCGAAGCACAAGCATCCGTACCCGAGGGCATCTAGTGCTACAGTGCAAGGCTGGGCATTAAGTATGTAGTCTAACATCATACAACGTAACATAATTCACTACAGTATTTTCGTAAAGTATAATAGTATGCTCGTGTCGACGCTGTGGCGTTACGCTGCCTAGCAGTCCAGGTGACTGAGGCAAGCCGAACTTCCGAAGCAGGCTCTATGTGGTGCTAGAATGATCTTCACCCCCGAGCACCTGCTGGAATCCCCTAGAATTGGTGGGGAGGGGGGGTCATTCTGAAGTCCTGAAGCAGGAGTGGCCCTCGGCGAGTGCGCAGTTAATTCTGCAAGCGTCTCCCTACAGGCCATCTGCTGACTCTGGGACTCTTGAATTCCATGGCATAAGCGCCTAACCGGAAATGTCACAAGTACCCCGCGCGACAGGTATCCCGGTGAATCGCAAGACGAGGAGGTACTGTGGCAGTCGGCAGTGGAGTGGAGGGCATCAAAAAGAACTTCTGCGATGCAGCATCGTCAATGTTTCCTGTACTGTGGAATGGTCACTGTCTCGTCTTCTCTGTTCGTTTGCTGTGACATAGCACTTCGCCAGTCGCGGAGCCTTGTCATGCCATGACGGATGTCACAAGTCTGCCATGAGTGCTTGAGGCTAACCGGCTAACCATACTGAATGAGACAAGCCTAGCGTCTTCAAACTGCTCGTGGCAAGTCTCGAAGCCAAGCACTCTCCCATTCCCGAAGCCCCAAACCTTATACCCATATAATATAATATGGTATAATATAATTTAATAGAATATAATATAATATTCACAGCCCGGCCATGACTGCCAGGATGACAGCGACAGCGATGAGTGGGAAGATGAGTCCGAGGCCTGAGCTGCAATAATGTAGGGGCCTAAATAATTATCAATACTATGTTGGAGCTCCTCCTTATAATTGCAGTATAATGGGCCCCCAAACCCTATTCTAGCTATCAAGGCCCCTATATTACTAGCGACGGCATTTGCAGAAAGCAAGACTGATCTATACTGAGCTGCTGGGGGCTGCGGCCGTTGCCTTTGTCTTTCTGCCCTCAGGAGGAGGTCTTGCCAGCACTTCCGGATTCCTTCAAGGAGGCTGGCATTGATCCGGAAAGGCGGATCTCTTTCCAGCAACCCTTTGGGGCGATATCCGATCGGGTGCAGCTCACAGTGGCGACGTTATATGAAAGCAGAAGTGGTCGTAACGTGCAGGAAGTGCCCGCGAAGATCTTGGCAATTCTCTCCGAGGCTGCGATGCATGCAGCAGCACGCCTGCCAAGCCTGGAGACAGTGCTCTTACAGACAACACTAAAGCCAAACTCCTACAGCATAAGGGCCGAATTTCGCAGTCTCCAAATGAGCCGTGCACTTTAGATCTCCGGGCAAGGTGGCTGAAGACTCCGTAAACTTGGAGAGCGAGCTCTTAGTCGGAGTCTTAGTCGCGGCTTCGGGGCTTGGGTCATGACTCTAAGGACTTTAGGAGGGACCCCTAATAGGGACCCTTTATCCCAGTACCTTAAATAACCATTGTATAGTCCGTCCTTATAAACCCCTTATATAGCCAGGTAGTCTCCTCATTAACCCCAATAAGCTACAAGGGTCCCTATTAAGAGTCCCTCCTAAAGCCCTTAGAATGACGGGTGATTCAGGATCTGCGATCTCAACGTGCCAGCATGCCTTGTGTTGCCTGCAGCTTCCGGAGAAGGGAGATCTGAACGTAAAGTGCCACAACCCAGTGGTCCTCTCAGATCTATAAGAATGGAGCGGTCTGGAATTGACCAGCACAACATGGTACTAGAGAGACACTGCCATGGTCCATAAGTAGCAGCCGATGCTTCTGTCTTTTCTTGGGCTTTCAACGTTGACAAGGACGGGATCGACTCGCTGGGTGCGACTTTGGCGCGGGCCTCGGTGCGAAAGGGGACCGTGTTCGCCGCCGTTCGTCGTGTTGCTGCTCCGGCTACTTTTATCGCGCCGCTATCATGGTCCGCATCAAGCATCACTTGGCAATCAAGATCTCGATGAGTCGCCGTCACGATCATCTTCATGACAATCGTGGTTGCAGTCGTTGTCACCACCGTCTGCACTGCTCGCAACATGATCCCCTTCGTCAGCACCAATACCCAGCAACGTACTCATCGCCACCATCATCACCATCATGATCATCATCGCCATCATCATCATCATCGATTCCGGTGAGGAGCACAGCATTCGGAAGCCTGCGATGCAGCCATTGGCCCACCCCTCCATCCTCTCCACGCTGGCGACTAGATTGTTAGCGCAAGGTGCTGCAAAACATTCAGATGCAGATGGGCGTGAACATCCCCGTCAGCGACTGGATGGACGCGAGTTGTTCTGCAAAGCTGTGGCTTGAAGCATAGTCTCGTACGGCCGGACGATCGAGATTCTGCAGCAGGCAAGCAACGACAACTTGTCTCCCTTGCATGTGCACGATCATCCGCCTACGAGTCTTCGGTGAATATGGAGTTTTTGTTCCAATCAATCATCACCCAGACTGAGTGTTCACGAATTGCCCAGACAGTTGACCTAGCAGGCTCCGGGACGTTTACATGTTTCACATGCTTGCGATCAGCATCACGTCCTAGTATCCGATACGGCATCCGAAACTCTAACATCTAGAGCTATCATGTGCACCGTGTGCAGGAGATGCAGCGTGCATCAGACCTTGTCGCGCGTGTGATGGAGGCCTCAGCTCCTTCGAACTGCTTGCAGCGCCGAGGTATTTGTGTCGTGATTTCTTTGCAAGGCTTCGGTTGCAGATGGCCATTCACTCATGGCATGCATCGCAACAGATTCCCACAGGGATGCATTCCTGTCAAACTCTGAAAGCGTGAGGTCTGCCAGCCCCTGAGCCTTGTAGGAGCTGCCAGAACAAGCTCCAACCTTGCCGGCCAAGCCCCAAAAGCGCCG